TATTTTTTTTTTATTAATTATTATTTGGATTGTAAGGACCTGAAGCCAGATACCATCCTGGAGAGTCCGACTCATCTGTTCAGAGTCGGTGGCGCCCAAAACTAAAACCCACCCCTACTCTCCGAATTATTTAGTTCTGAGCTAGGGCTTAATTTGCACGCACTTCGACCTTCAGTCTTACAATCTCAAGTTCTTCATTCAATTATTTTTATTTTTATTTTCATTATTTTTATTTTATTTTTTTTTTTGATTTTTTTTTTATTCTCGACTTTAATTTTTTTTTAAATTTATTTTTCTAAATTTATTTTTTTTTAATAAACTTTTCTTAATCAGCGAAAAGCGTGGCAATTGCTCCCGAAATTGGAACCAGAATAACACCAATTTCTGAACACACAGATGAAATAATAGACTTCGCAATAGTGAAGAATGTTAATGCTCATGCCGTGACGTTGAGTGCATTGTTGTCGGACCATCTCCCGGTCGAAATCCTGGTTAACAGCAATTATCATATAGTTAACAATAATCCAAGCAGGTTTAATTACCATAAAGCCGATTGGAACAGATTTAAAACTCTCACAAAAAATAACACTATTATCAATTCAAACATAAACACAAACCAGGATATCGACCGCGAGGTTGAAAGACTTGCCCAAACCATTAAAAATGCACAAACGAATGTGTACCTAGAATTAAACACAAAAATACGGAATGGCCCGAAACCATCCTTGAGGCGATCCAAACTAGAAATCGGGAACGGATTCGCTACAAGCGATCCCGAACCCAAGAAAACATGAACAATCTGAGATTTCATAATAACTTAGTACCAACATTAATTAATTTATGGCAAATTGACCAATGGCACCAAAAAATCAATAAAATCCAAGATAGAAAGGATAACGTTTGGAAACTCATAAAAGCCAGAAAAATGAGAGGAAACTCGAAAACAATTCCTCCCCTCAAGGATGACGACGGCCATTTCGTAACTAGGGAAGCTGATAAAATCGCCCACATAGCTAATACTTGGGCAAATGTAAATACCCAAACTATAAATATGTCCGAACCCATAACTAGAAATTTTCTGGATACTATTTATAACAATATTAATGATACGGAGGCGGTAACACCGACGGACAAAATATCCAGCCCGCACGAAATTAGAAAATTTATCTCCAGCCGGAGGCCCTACAAGGCTGCAGGAGAAGACAAAATTATATTTAAATCGTTAGAAAACGTACACATGAAAACTATAATACAAATTCACTTCATTTTTCAAGCATGTCTTAAAAATCAATATTTTCCTGCAGCCTGGAAAAACTCAGTAACCGTACCAATCCTCAAGCCTGGAAAGGACGAACAAAAACCCCAGAGCTACAGGCCAATTTCGCTGACAAATACCATTGGCAAAGTGCTTGAAAGAGTTATATTGAAAAGAATCAATAATTTTGTAACCGAAAACAACATACTAATTCAAGAACAATTCGGCTTCACCAACGCAAAATCCACAGAACTGCAGCTTGCCAGAATTGTGGACAAAGCCATGATCAATAATAATACCAGTACGGTCACCTCAATGGTGATATTAGATATTGAAAGAGCTTACGACACAATCTGGCAAAAGGCACTTCTGTGGAAACTCTTAAATATCCAATACCCGCCATACCTAATAAAAATCATAAAAAGTTTCATCACAGGCAGAACCTTTCAGGTACTTGCCAATGGTAAAAAATCGGGAAGAAGGGAGCTAGTTGAGGGACTCCCTCAGGGTAGCGTACTGTCGCCCCTACTCTTTAATATCTATATTAATGACATTCCAAGACACCAAAATACTCAACTAGCTCTCTTCGCCGACGACACAGCGATTTTCGCCGAAAGCAACAGGGAAGAACAAGCAAAACTATACATTCAAAGGCATCTTAATATCATAAGTGAATATTTTATCAAGTGGAAATTAAAAGTAAACGTCGAAAAAACGCAAAGCTGTAACAGGCCAAAATTGCATAACTAATTCTTACCTACTTTCAATTTTATATTCAAGATTTCCCTGAATTTGTCAACATTTTCTCTCTATAAAATTTCATCAATAATCTCAACGGTTGTAGATCCTTTAAATTTCCTAATTTTCAATAGTCAAATTCTATTTGCTGTAATGGGTTTTCCTCGTTTTAATCCATATTTTAATTCAATTTCAAAATCAAAACAAATCAATATTTTGATTCCAATTTTAAATTCGACCATCTGTTTTCATAACAAAAATAATTCATTTGTCAAAAAAAATATTTCGTGGGGTTATGTTCCGAAATCATAATGACCCGTTTTCAAGTGTATGTACAGAACTACTCCGTTCGTACTTACTCTGTCGGTTATTGAGTTATTGATATCGGTGCAAGTTCTAGTGAACCCCGGGTCGATCATTGGTTCGATAGCCTTTTGAGATTTTCTGCATTATCCTTGCTTTCGGTTTTTTGACTTTTGATTGTCGATAATTTCTGTCAACCGGCGGTCGATTAGTAATGTTTTTAGTATCGTCGATTCTTCTTTAAGCCCTCTAATTTTGCAAACGGATCACTTACTCTATTTTGGATTCCTCAAGTTATTATTGTTTTATGGGATAATTATTTGTTGTTAATATCATTATTCGTCAGCCGTTGTTATTTTTCTCGGTTTATATTGTTGTGTGCAATTTTTGGTAAGTAAGAATTCTATCGATTAATTTTTGACGTTTATCGCTATCCCGCATCATCTCTGAATCTATCTTTAGGCTAGCTCGTTGATCTTATGTGTAGCACATTCCCATTTCACGTTTGACTGTTTTGAAGAGCAGGTCCTTCAGGAAGAATTAATTTTTGTCTTCACCTTAAAAAGGGATTTTGGGCCTGGTTTTCTTCTACATTGAATTTATGGCACACTGAGTTACCTTGCGTTGTGTTTTAGTTTCGTGAAGTGCCATAATTTTCGCCGATGTTATCGGATTTTAAAAACAGTTATTCCGGTAAGTTGTTGCACACGTTTTTTTCCACAGTAGATTCTGACTTTTTCAATTTAATTTAGTTAAAAGCTGCCCTAAAGAGTAGTAGTAGATCCAGATTTCCAGAGATTTTCGAGGCAAACAAACCCTATTTCCAACAGGTAAAAACATAACCTTATAAACTCCAATTTTTGCAAACTCGAGGCACATTTTTGTTAATTACTATCAACGCTTTATTTTGATTTCATCTAATTTAATTAATTAATACATTATTGTTCAATTTTTCTATTAAAATAATTTTCAAGAGCTATAGTCTTTTATCAAGTAAATTTGCTATTGGAAGCTAATTGAGTTACATTATAGTTTCATTTTCTGTATAACAATTTTTCTCTTAGGGTTTTCTTGCGAGGGGTTTTATTTTACCACCAAGTTTTCCCTCACGGTTACAACAATACACCTTCAATGGTAACCGAAATTGAACTAAAAGGCTATCACACTGAGAAAAACCCGTTAACTAAGCACGTGGGTTGAATTTTTATAGTAGTCATTGCTAAAAAAATAGTTATCACGACCAGCCTAGTCTTGTTATTGCAGTCATTTCAAATTAGTTGTAAAAAAATGGTTGTTAAAACATAGGTAACTATTATTTTGGTTATCGCAACATGTTGAGATTACTAATTAAGTTAGTTAAATAAAAAATAACCAAAATATTACTAAAAAAACAGTTGTAGCAACCTGGTTCCCACAACTAGTATTTTCTAGTTAGTCCTTCGGACCAATCAAATGCAGCGCTCATGGTCCGACGTCTGTCGATTAGTGCCAATCTCGTTTCTCCCTCCAGTACTTTGCCACTAGCCGTAGGTGACCGATCAGTTTAGCACCAAACACGATCCGTGGCGATGCGCGCGCTGAATTCAAATTGGTTTGAACAGGTTACGACAAACGCGTGTTTTTGATCTGCGTGCCGATTTGTGGCGCTAAAGATTAAATAATAATAATTATTTATAATTGAAAAAACTTGTGATTACGTTACGTGCTCACTGATTCGTGATTCTCTGACCGTTTCAACGTGGAGAAAAATGAGATTGAGGAGGTTGATAATATGTCATATAAAACCCAACTCCGAAATTGGAATTTTGGGGTTTATCTAGGTGTATTCGAAGGTAATTAGACAATGATGTGTTTTTCATAGGTGTTTAGTGCATATTTAGTTGAGCCGTTTTCTCGCGTTAACTTTTTTGACATTAGTTCCAAACCGGTTCGGAACAGTCAAAGGAAACACCATCGCCCGTTTCAAATCTGGTTGTGAAACAATGTCAAAAAGGTGGACGCGAGAAAACAGCTAAAGTCTGTTTTTTTTTAAAGATAATTCCTCAATTCAAAAATTTGTAACTACATATGTTGGCAACACAAGCCTTTAAAGCCTAAAGAAAAATATTGCTAAGACATTACGTTTAAAAAACCATAAGCAATCTTCAATTGTTTTTTTTTTGAAGACCTGATTATAAACAAAATTATTTTATTATTATTTTTGGATGTTGCAATGTTGTATGCTCGTTCTGTTCATGTCAAATTCAATTATGTCTGTTTCGTTTCATTATAGCCGCTTTCCAGCTGTGTGCTTCAAGCACGGTGCAGCACAGTGTTCTGTGTTTGAAACGCAAAAGTTAGCAGCTCTCGAACCGCTATACGGCTGGAACATGAACACGCGCTTAAAGCATTTGCGTGCACAAAAGCTCGATTGCGTGCTCAAAAGCGTCAGCTGGAAAGCGGCTTATGGCGATTTCCATTTGTCACTCAGTGCGCATTGAGTGTCATTTTTGTTTCCACTGATTCTACAAAAGGAAATCGCTATTGCTAGTTTCAAAAATTAACCTCCAAATCTCTAAGTACATTTTTTAATTTTTTGTTTATGGGCTCAAAACTTTAAAATCAAATAATAAAAGAAACATAAAAAAAGAGACAAAAAATTACCAGGTGGAGTTATGATGGATTGGTGCTTTTTATGTTTTAGAAGAAGGAATAGATGATGATAGTTTTGACTTGCTAGACGAGGAAACAATTAGAAAAATCTTTACCAAGGGGTCCACGCCTTAATTTTAAACAAAAGTATCAGAAATATTTGCATGAGAAAAAGATGCCAAATGCTCCAATAGTGAGTGAATTATATTCATTTACTGTTGTATTTAATTTTTAATATTTAATGTTTCTAGAACAATGAAACATCTTTGATTGAAACTGTATCAACTGCATCAACTGATACCATCGATACCTTGGAATCCACAGAATCATTCAATTCCATTCCCATTATTTTTAAGATGCCCGCAGATGCTCCTTTGCCTTCCCCAAAAAAATCAAAAATTATTAAAGTGGACTTCATAGACAGTGCATTTTCAGAGGTAAGTGTCTACCGTTAATGCCTTTCAAATTTTTTCATTAAATATTATGCAAAAATTAAAATTAAATGAAATTGTTATAAAACTTTTTTAGTATTAGGCTTGAGAGAAGCTATATTTTTTGCTCGATTTTTTGGTACTGCCTATTTAGTCTAATAGGTTTTTTGGTTTTATATTTTAGGGTTTAGAAACCCTTCTACAAAAAACAACGGAGGGAAGAATATTATTAGCCGCTAGGCATAAACTCACAAATGACCAACGCCAAAAATTGGCGAATATATGCATTGGTGAATTGATAAATATATATGGGAAGGACTTGAATAGCGGGACAATTTTAAAAGCAGCGCAAGAAATACCTCATGTGTTTATTCTAGAAAGCTCGGATGTTTATATGATATCTAACCAAGAGGGAGGACCAAAAGGAAAACTTTGGCACCGCTACCATAATATTAGAAAAGCAATTAAATTGGCTGATAGCCACAGGATAACTGAAAACAAAGAAAATGAGGATCAATATGAAAATCCATTTGAAACAATTGGAACTCGAGATGAAACATCAAAATTACTGGATTTCCTAAAAGTCGCAATTGCAGAAGCATGGGAAGCAACTTTTAAAATGCGTGGAAGTCTTTACGCGAAAAAATCTATTCTTGATGTATTCCGTGATTTTCCTTGTCTTAGATTGGACTCAGGAATTCAGTTGGTGAGAGTTTTCCTTAATTTTTCTTGTTGATATCTCATTTTAATATTATTATATTTATACAGCTGGAAATTGACTTTAATCTTCGCTACGGTGACCGAATAGATGTCGTTTATTCAACTTTTCCTAAAGTCAGAAATGCTATCTTGGACGAAGCAAAGGAGATAAAGATAAAACTGGACACGCATTATGAAGGTTATTTAAAAATTATTGCAGATTCTCTATAATTTTATTAATATCGTTTACAGATCCCAATTTGAATGCAATAATATCTTTGGTCTATTTATTTCCTCCAATCACCCTTAAAAAGTCTAGAAAAGGTGGAAACTGGAGGCCGACAAGAAGTGAAATTTTTGACAGTTTTTTCATGCTGGTTGATGTATGTATTATTTGTCTTAATTTTTTTTTGAACAAAATTGACTATGACATGGACAAGTATCGTAAGATTTATTGAATTAATAAGCAGTGGGTACCTAATTTCATTTTTTCTACAAACACAATTGAAAATAGGTAAACTTTTTACTGCTTGCTGTTGGCGTCAAAAATGTAATTTCATGAACCAATGTTAAAAGTGGACTGTTGTTTTTTTTTTTGGATGCTACTATCAAAGTTATAAATAACTAATGTGTCTTATCTTTTCAGACTTTTGATGAATTTCAAGAACGCCTTTCTATGCGACGAGCAAAACTGTCGGAGCATAATTTGACTATGCAACCATTTGCAGTGGTAATCGGGGGTAGTAATTTCTTCATACAAATTGAAAACCAATCATTTAAAGTGGATTCTGCTTTGAGGACTCTTGAATTGACATTCAAAATGTTTTACGCGCTAGATCTTGGGTATCCATGTGAGTCCGAACACATATGGTTGCTGATAGAAGAAATACTTTTCAACATGAAACCAAAAAAGAAGCACCCTTCTTCAGCGTCAGTAATATGTGACCTGCAATATCATTTCAATAATTAAGGTTTGTAGTTACCTATTTAATTTTTTTTAGTTTAGTACTTGTTTTTTGACTTACCTGTAAGTCATTGATTCATAAAAAAATGAATTGTCATGCATGTAAAGACACTTTTTTTAAAGCTAATGCTTTAATTTCTCATTTAAAGATAATTCACCGATATACAGAAAATACATTAATAGTTTGTGGACAACATGAATGTAACAGAAATTTTCCCTCCATAAATTCTTCCCGAAAGCATTTAAAATATCATGAAAAAGTTGGTAATGTAAAACATTCCAAAACTACAATCGAAAGATTTAAACCAAATGAAAAAGAACCTATGGTTCAAAATGTTAGTAATAACCAAGCAAAAGATTATTTAAAAAATAATTTGATTTTAGATGACAATATTAACCACGATGTTAACATTAGTGAAACAAATAGTACCCTTTTTCAAACTTTCAGTGATAAATTAGTGGAAAATATTGTAAGGTTTTTAAGCAATCTTTATATAAGTGGAAGCATTCCCAGAAAATCTATACAGGATGTAATTATGGGTGTTCAGAATCTTTTGGTTGAACCACTTACTATATTTGAAATTTTTGTGCAAAATACCTTGGATATAACTAACGCTGAAAAAGTTCAAGTGAAACGATATTTTCAAGAATTGCACACATTATTCAATAATTTAGACAGTGAATATTTGAGATTTAAGTTTCTGCAAAAACGGAGTCTTTTTATTGTTCCAACGGAAATTGTAGTTGGACAATCACTAGAATTTTCTCAAAAAAATAATTCGACTCGAAAAAACTATATGGCTCAATTTGTACCAATTTCTTTAGCGTTGGAAAAATTGTTTTCTCTACCTAATATATATAAAGATACTGTAAATTATATCAACGAGCTTCAGAAGGAAAGTAAAGTCTATAATAATGTTCAAACTCTATTCTGGAAAGAAAAATGTCGTTATTTTGATAATAATAATGTTTTTCCACTTCTAATATATTTTGATGAATTTGAAATTGGAAACCCATTGGGCTCCCATGCTGGAATTCATAAATTTGGAGCAATTTATTATTCGATCCCATGTATTCCTCCAGTTTTTCAATCATCTTTAGAAAATATTTTTATTGCAATGCTATTTCATAGTAGTGACTTAAAACGCTTTGGTGAACACATACTTTTTACCAAGTTGGTTGATGAACTAAACTCTCTAGAAAATAATGGTATAGTAATAAAACTTCCTGAAGAACGAAAAGTATATTTTTGTGTTACTTTGATTCTTGGAGATAACTTGGGCGTGAATACAGTATTGGGATTTCAGCAAAGGTTTACTTCAAATTTTTTTTGTCGATTTTGCAAAACTTCACGCTGTGATACCCAAACTCTGTGCTATGAAGTAACTTCTTCCTTATGAAATAATAAAAATTATTTTGAGGACTTAGCTTTAAGTGATCCATCACTAACAGGCATTAAATTTCTTCCTGTATGGGAAAATATAGAACATTTTCATGTTACGGAAAACTTTTCTGTAGATATAGCACATGATATTTTTGAAGGCGTGGGTGTGTTGGTTATGGCTAATTTATTACATCAATTTATAATTGCTGATAAATTTTTTGAGTTGGAGACACTAAACAACAAAATAAGGTTTTTTGATTTTAGAAATTGTCATAACAGACCTCCAGTAATTAGTTATGAGAATTTAAAAAAGAAAACTTTGAAAATGTCTGCAGCAGAACTGAAATCATTTATTTTAAATGCAGGTCTTCTTTTTGGTCACCTAATTCCTAATGAAAATAAGCACTGGAAATTATACATTTTGTTTAGAAAAATTCTTAAAATTGTCTTAAGTGAATATGTAACGTGTGATTTGTGTGATGATCTTAGGATTTTAATTTATCAACACCATACTTTATTTTTGAAACTGTTCAGAACTCTTACACCTAAGTTTCATCTTCTTACACACTATCCAAATATAATGAAGAAGGTTGGTCCATTGAAAAGAATTTCAACTTTGCGCTATGAATCAAGGCATCGACAATCTAAGCATTATGCTAATTTCTCTGCATCAAGAGTAAATACACTGCTCAACAATCGAACTGGATAATTGCAAATATACTAAAATCCTCATTTAAAAAAATAGAAAATAAAAACGTGTTTTATATTATCAATAACCAGTTTATTGATAATCAATTAACTGTTTATTGATGATATAAAACACCTTTTTATTATCTATTTGTTTAAATGAGGATTTTAGTATATTTGCAATTATCCAGTTCGATTGTTGAGCAGTGTATAACTAAAACCATAATACTATATGATCAATTAAAACAAGCATCTCGATTTGCTTTGGGTAAAGGTTTTGAAAGTAAGGCGAAAATATTTTATCTTAAGAAAGAACATGATCCAGATTTATTAAATTTAGCATTATGTAATGATCCTGTATTAGATTCTTTTAAAAAAAGTGGTCGTTTGGCATATAAAGTACTTCTAGATAATAAGATTTTTCAAGAAAAAAATATACTAATATTTAAACATAATGATTCACCAATTTTAGGACGTATAGAAAAAATTGTTATTAATTCAAAAGAAGACATCTGTTTCATTTACAAACCAATAAAAACTGCCGTTTTCAATGAACATTTGTTTGCTTACCAGATAACATATTCTGAAGATTTGTAATTTATGCTTCAACCTGATATAGGAGATTTATTTGCAACTACCATATTCAAACGAAACAATCTTATATTTGTGCAAAATATTTAGAAGATCTTAGACAACCACCTTTCTATCAAATATTCAAAAAAAAAAAACATATGTACTTCCTATAAAATACACTTAAGTGCATAGAAATCGACCACCTGCTAACTTTTGAGTTCAACTATTTTTTTTTAGAAACTATTCATGAGATTAAAAAAGAAATATACCATTTGAAAAACAATTTAATATCATCTGATAACAGTTGAAATTATGTATTATAATTAAAAATCCTATGAATAGTTTCTAAAAAAAATAGGTGAGGTGAAGTCAAAAGTTAGCAGTGGGCTAGTTTTTATGCACTTGAGTGTATTATTTGTCAAAAATCTTTCACAGTGTTGAACTGAAAGAGTTTTTTATTGAAATTCTGTATACTTGATACTAAAATGATAGTTTAAGTAAATATTTTTTTATGAATCACTTACTTATTAGCAAAGTCTAGTAAACAGTTTTTGTCCTTTTGTATGGGATAAGGCTGCAATTAATTATTATTTTTAAGAATGAAAAGTTAGTTTTGTATTGCCCAGGAGTTTTAGACATAAAATTTCTCTTCTTGATGGTCTAAAAGAGTTGTTATTTTTTGAGTTTTTTTTATATTGACAAGCTCATTTAGTATAGTAACACTTGTTTCATTGCTTTCTAAGTTTCTGATATAGGTAATCTAATATAAGGTGTCCGTTTTTCGAGGGCAACCTTTGGGATATAGGAAACGTGAAAAGATACAGATTCGATTGAATTGAGGCAAAGTTGCGCGATTTCTTATTTAATAAAATCCTACTTTGAAATTTGAAATATTTTACTCCCGGAGATATCTGAAAAAAAAAATGCATAATTGTTTTTATTTTTTCCTGGGCTCATTCGGAAAGATATTTCAAAATAAACTTCACTTTATTGGGGCAACCTTTTCCCTTCTACACGTTAATGTAGCCAAATTTGAAATCTGACGTTTCGTCTTTGGCTGATCATCATCAGCTTTATTTCTTTTAATAGAGGTTCGCATTTTTTTACTTGTTTTTGGAGCTTTTTGATCCCCTAAAAGCAGTAAAACATTTGGTCATTGATGAATAGTTTTTTTTTTAATGAAAAAGAAAGCGTCGAATGCACAAGAGTCTACCTATCTCTTTCCAATGTACTTCTTTCACTATATCTGGAAGTATTCGGAATAATCCATATTTTGAAGTGGCGTTCTGTCAAGCAAGAACTTGCGCAACTTTGCCCCAATGTGACCAAGCCTGTATCTCTCAACATTTCCTATATCCCAATGGTTGCCTTCGAAAAATGGACACCCTGTAAATATTTTTTTTATGAATCACTTTATTAGCAAAGTCTAGTTAAAAGTTTTAGTTCTTTTGCATAAGATTGAGCTGCAAGCTGCAATTACTTATGATTTTTAAGAATGAAGAGTTAGTTTTGTATTGTCTAGGAAAATTATTTAAGACATAAAAGTTCCTTTTTTGATAGTCTGAAAGAGTTTATATTTTTTTTTTTATATTGATAAGCTTATTTTTAGTATAGTGGCACTTGTTTTGTTGCTTCCTAAGGTTCTGATATAGGTAATCTAATATGTATAAATATTTTTTTATGAACCACTTTAATACCAAAGTTTAGTTGAAAGTTCTTGTCATTTTGCATGGGATTAGACTGCAATCACTTATTATTTTTAAAAATGAAAAGTTAGTTTTGTATTGCCCAGGAAAATTATTTTAGACATAAAACACATAAAAGTTCCTATTTTGATAGTCTAAAAGAGTTTATATTTATTGATTTTTTTTTTAGATTGATAAGCCCTTTTGAAATAAAAATATTTATTAAAAGCATATGTATGTATTTTTGTTGATTTTTCTACCATCCCACATGTCCCTTTTTTACAAGAATTTCATGTTTGCAAAAAAATATGTGAACTCAGCAATCTGTAATTAAATTAACACAATATTTACCTTAAGGAATATTTTTTTCTTAAGGTTATTGTGGTATTAATTACAAATTGTTAAATTTCCATATTTTTTGGTAAACCAAAAATGATTGCTGTTTTAACTAGTTTTCATGGTATTATAACAAATACTCTTTAGTTGCCACTGCTAAGCAAGAAGGCAAAATCAACTAGAAAAATAGTTGTCATCGGTATTTATACTGGTTACACCAATACAAAATTATGGCTTGAATAACTACCTATATATATTTTAATTTTTGTGGTAACTGAAAATATTAGTTATCATAACTAGGTAGATTACCTTAATTAGCTAAAATAATTAGTTGTAACAGCTGAAACTAGAGAATTTGATTAACTTGTTTTAGTAGTCCGGACAACTATAATATAATAGTGGCTGCAACAAGTTTTTAGGTTAAGAATAAATGTTTGCAGTTACTAAAATATTAGTTGACATAACTATGAAAGTCGTAACTCGTGCGAACTAATTTATATTTGCCGTTGTAACTAAATGTTTGATCTGTCCTCTATGCTATCCACACTTCTAGTTACATTTACTAAATTTTTAGTTATAACAGCCTATTTTTTTTCTCAGTGCAGACACCAGCCTAAGTAGTTGGACGGTTACTCAAGTCTTCAATCAAGTTAACCACAACCAGTAGCCAGGATTAATCTGGTTAATTGTATGAACCACCATCACCTGGAACATTTGGTATCGTACTAGTTTTAGTTAACATATATATTATTATTGTTTATTCACATTCTGTCCCTATTTGTAGACCACAGTGATCACTTTCGGTAGTTCAGGGAGTAATTTATTGCTTGCCCCAGTGTGGCAAATGAATTATTAAATAGGTAACTTAACTAGACATAACCTGATTAATTTAGGTCAACTTACTGGTAGTTCTGGTTACGTAAGTGTAAGATAACCGTTCCGAGAACTAATTCTTTGTTATTGGTTTTTTTTCTTATTTTTTTTTTTTTTTTTTTGATTTTCAAACCTTACATTTCATATATACCTTTTCTTTATTACTCAGTTAGTTATTGAGTTTCAATAACATTTTCACAGTTAAATTTGATTGTTATAACTATAGCTATTATTCCAATAGTCGCCGTACTGTATTTGTCGATGGACCCTTCCTCAAAAGGTCACTCCATTTATTAATTAATGATAGCTCCAGTGATTGTTCTTTCTCTTAAATAGTTTTTTTTTTTCTAGTTTCTTTTTCAAATAGTTTTCGTAGATAATATTGAAAGTTTACTTGATTATTTTTGTTTCAAAATTATTATCACAGAATATATTGTTCATTGTGGACTGCGGCCATTTGGTAAATAAACACCACTTCATTAATTGACTTTTATTTGGTTTCATGCACACAGCCTGGTTTTAGTTAATATACAGGGTGTATATTTTAAGTGATACCACTATTGCTATATTTGAAACGGTAAAAGCTACAGGGTCGGTTAAATTAGAAAAAAATTGCCTTTTTTGATGCCCATTCAAGACTCGTTGACAGTGTTGCCAAATTCCTTTTAGTTTAGGAAATACAGGATGATTTCTAAAAAACGCCCAAAAATATTTCATCAATTATTTCGAAAACTATTAATTTTCGGGACAATTTTTTTCGCTCTTCAATATGGCATCTTCAAATTTTGAATCCGACGTTTCGTGATTGAGCTACCATCATCAACTCAATTTTTTTAAATACGGACCTGGATTTTTTATGTCA